GAAGCTGGTTTTACTGCTCTTTTTATGTTTTTATTGTTGTTTTTGTAAGCCACCCAGGGTTACATATAAAAACAGGTAGCCATATAAATCAAACAAACAAATAAATAAATAAACAAACAAACAAACTTTGAAGAAGCAGGAAAGAAAGAGCATCAACACTTTTGATGGACCAGGTTAGGGATAGATCATCATGGAGAAATCTATCCATGTAGTTGCTAAGTGTTGACACTAACTTGACAGGACATCAATCAATCAATCAAACAATCATATGATCATAAAATGTAATTATCAGACTGTTATAGCAATCACTGAAATCATCCATACTTGGCACTGCACTTGATGACCAGCATCTCTTAAGCATTTTTGTAAATAACAAACAAGAAATGTTATTCAGATTATTTTCTCATTTGTATATCTGGTTGTGCATCTGGGTCTTTGGTATAAAGTTTTGTCTTACAAAATTATTATTTTCTTCAGTGGTGATGTGGGATATCTAAATAGAGAGAAGCAAATTAATTGTCCATAGTTCTGTTGGCATAACTTTTTCAAGTTTGCTTCTCATATGAACTCATAGGAATTTTGAAGTAAAGTCAAGTAAAGAAATTGATGTTATGTAATCTAAAGCCTTTCTTTCAAAGGTACTGATTATTTTTTTCACTTCCAGTTCTGCTAAAAATGTTCAGAGTGCATTTGTCCTTAAATATAAGACTTTTTTAAAAAAATCATAATCTCCCTCTTACATTGCAAAAGGCTTTCAGCTTGTAAAACTCAACCAAGCCACCAAGTGGCAGACAGCATCAAATAAGCAGTTGCTATCTATAACTTCTAAATTTATGGAAGTGCATTTCAGAACTAAACCTGACTAGAAATACAGGGGAATGAAATGGAAAGGATATGGGAATTGTATTTTAGAACATTTGATCTAGATGGAAGCTACAAGTAGGAATGGATGAGAATTTCATTTAGTTTATTTTTAGTTAGAATGTAACAACATTTGCAGGTTTCTTCACAAAGACGGTAAAACTCTAAAAATTGTAGAGATGATAGAAAGCAGACAGGTTTGATCAACCAGATAGACCTCTTTGAGTGCTTGAGTGCTTTTAAAAATTGGATTCAAATCGTTATGAATTCATAACCATTTGACATTCTGAATTATGTCTGCCACTTTTTTTACCTGGAGATTTCTCAACTTTAATATCTATATGGCAAGATGGGAAGAATCAGAGTTTTTAAAAAATTGCATATGGAAGAAATGGAACTTGACAAGATTCATCTACTCCTAGGAAAATGTAGGGGACAGTCCCTGTATCTCTGGAGGGTATTCAACATTGCCTTCTCCTTCTAAGAATGCATAATTTCTGGCATTTCCTTTCAGAAATACATTATAAAAGTCTTTATCCCCAATCTTTCTTTTCCCCCAGTCCCAGTGCTGAATAATAGCATCTTGCTTACCAGTTACATTACTATCCTCTTACAGTCAATTGTCCATCCTGCCCTCCCCCCACATCCCTATTGTATGTATTATTAGCCACTTACCATTCTAAGCTTCTTTAATACTGTGAAATCTTCCATTCAGAATATTCTCCTGTGCTATTCCGCCCTTACTTTGCTGGGCATACTTCTGATAAGAGAAGAAGTCAGATGACTTTTTAGGGAAGTGATCTGTGTGGAGATTCTAATAGGTGGGTGTGCATTCTGTCTGTGAATGTTAATGAAGTGGTTTTGTTTGTGTGGGCTGGCCTGAGAGTTTGCAAGATTTGGGTTCATGTTTCTCCTACTATCATTATTTTCATGTCTCTGTTTTATTTGGATCTTACTCTGTTGGACTGACTCCCACTGAAGTTTCATCATTTATTACTTTTAAATATAGAATCACTGATGTAGCATGGTATTTGTGCTATTGGATTTAATAGTGTTTTAGGTTCCCTTCTATATGGTCCTGTCATATTACTTCAGTCATGAACTATACAAATAATAGTTCTCTCTCCCACCATCATGATTTCATGCTTGACAACAGTTTTTGTGCCAAAGCAATTTATCCATCCAACCATGCGCTGTTTAACATTTTAAACTCACACTTAATTGTTAACACTCTCATAACTACAAGAATACATTTTCATGGAATAAAAGGATTTTACTTATTTAATTTTTAAAAATTAAAATGAGCATGTGTAAAAATGTACATACGTGCCCCTTGACTCTAAAACATCCCTCCCCCATGAAAATAAGGTCATGTGATCAGGAAAGAAGGGAGAGGGAAGTTTAGAATGGAGGAGTTGGCAACTTCTGGGCCACTACCCAGGTGCTTTTCTGATAGGAATGAAGTTTTGTTTTGTTTTTCCTGGGTTTTTTTCCTCTGCAGATTTTGGCTGGATCCTGCCCATTTCTGAAGCCTTCTGCCTCCAAATTTGGTCCTGTTATATTTGGATTTCAGAGACTTATCCACCTGACAGGCAAGTAGAGTCCTGACCCCCTTTACATAATTCTTTCCCCAAATTCCATTCAGCTGAAAAAACTAAAAAGGAGTTGAAGTGAAAAATTTCAATCAAATGGGTTCCGGAATGCTCATGATGCTCAGGTCTTAAACTAGAGCTATTTGATGTTGCAACTTTCTGAATAAGGATTCCCCCATCCAATGTTGAGGCATTCCTGATCTTTTACCCAAAGCTATGTTGCTTATCGCTATACTGAATCTGGATCTAAAAAGTTGCATGTACCTCCTGAAATCATAGGCAAGAAAAAGAAAATTAAGGATGCAGGCAATACATACACTGACACTGGAATAGTACATAGAAGATGGTTACATAGTGAAATGTATTTCTAAGCTTTTAGAAATATATTGGCTTATTGAGAATACCCTCTCAATAAAAATGCACTTCCTTTTTATTGTATAAGTAGTGTGACAGAAATAACATAACAATTTGAATAATATGGCAGGAAATGCCATGCCTTGTTTATAATTTTTTAAGTGCCCTAATTTACATGCATAGCCAACTTATCGCTCTGGAGCATCTGGCTTCATAGGAATATAGGACAACCCTTGAATAAAGGCTATTCAAGTTATCCAACTTCCACCATGTCACTCAAGAGCGACTCTGGGCGGTTTACAGTAAAACAAGAATAAATATTAATTAAAATACAATAAAGAAATGTTCATACATAAATAATGTCTTCCAAGATACTGGTGGTAAATAAAGGTTATTAACCTATGGGAGCATCTTCAAGGTGCCAGCCACTCCCAGGGTTGGTTTCCCTCTTCTTGCCCCATGTGAGTTGGCAAAGCCAGATCTGTTTATGTTACAACAAAGGAAACAGTTTTGTCAAATCCAAGTATCTGAAAAATTTCATTACATAGGATAAAGGAGAATCACAGTAGCAAGCTGCTTATGACCTTCCACACTTCACGGCTGACCTTCAATAGATGAATATGTACACCTGTAGTCATGTAAGAATTTTTAAGGATACAACTTGATGTGGTATTAATTACATGAACACAATTAACTAGAACTTAAAACTCAGGCATGTATGGGAAGGGGGTGGGTGGGCAGATAGCATGTACACCATATTTGTGACATTTATGTCAGATATCATGATGGAAGTATGTAAGTTGGGTCCTTTGCAAAATGTTGACATGATGAACATGTTACCAGTTTGATACCATTATGGCTCCTTATAGATGCAGCTGCATTAAAAATATAAACACAACTATAGGGCACCTGAATTAGCAGGTAGTGTTGAATCATTTCTCCTTGCTAAAACTTATTTCCCCATCAAGATGATTATTGCTATAAGACATAGGCTGCCTACTTAAGAATCATCAACCATCAAAAAAGGAAAATGCATCACCAGGAAGAAACTATGGTACCAAAATTTGCATAAAGTCTGAATGAATCTAAAAATATTTGATATTGTTTTAATATAAATGCAAAGGATTCTGTGACCATGAAGAAATTTGTGACCAAGTGACCGGTATGCTTGCTGAGTCTCATCTCCAGGAACTAATGGTGAATGGGGAACTTTAATCCCCCTCCCCCCAGCTTTTCCGATCTTTATTTTAAAACTGGGCTTAGGCTGCATAACGCTTCAAAACAGAGAATGACTTCAAACAGCAGCATGGTCACTGACAGTTCTTCAGATGGCACACTTCCCTTTGTAAAAGCCCCTTGAGGGGAGAAAGGCCTTCACTGCTAACAGTTCAATGGTCCAAGTTCCAATATTAAAAATCAGTATTCATTCATTCATTCATTCATTCATTCATTCATTCATTCATTCATTCAATTTGTATGCTGCCCATCTCCCCCAATGGGTGACTCTGGGTGGCTCACAATTAAAACCAAAAACCCATGAATGATTAAAAGTAATACTATATAAACTGTTAAATTCCAATTAAAGGTCAGAAAAGGGGGGACTTGCATATATTTATATTTATCAGAACAAGGAGGGGAGATAAAGATTTTAAAAAAGTATATACAAGGTTAAGTTGTCTCTCTATTATCAACCTCAACTAGAATTGGCAAAAAAGGTTCCCTCAATGCTGCATACAAATAGCATTTTTACAGTTTATTATGACTTAAGGATTTGAAAGATATAATATTTCCACTCTATTAGTCCCTCACCTCCAGTTTGGGAATTCTTAAATTTAGTTTTTGTGTGCACGTGTGTGTCTCTGCGTCAGTGTTGACTCCTGGTGACTGGACAAGTCCCGGCAGTTTTCTTGGCAAGGTGTTTTGGAAGTGGTTTGCAATTGCCTCCTTCCTAGGGCTGGGAGAGAGTGACTGGCCCAGAATCATCCAGCTGGCTCTGTGCCTAAGGCTGGACTAGAACTCACAGTCTCCCAGTTTATAGCCTGATGCTTTAAGCACTAGGCCAAACTGGCTCTCATTAAATTCAATTAGCAATGTGAAAAAAGAGAATCAGGTACTCAGAACTGAAGGTTAGTTGAAATTAAATTAGTCTCATGTTAGACAGGAATTTCTTCAAAACATTGGAACATTATGAACTTCTTAAAAAATGTAGCCAACAAGATGCCTCAATTAAAAAAAAAAAACTAGAGAAAACTATTCAAAATATTATCATATGGAACCTATATATGACTTATATTATTTACACGACTTTTATTATTCTATTGTTTATTTGATGTCAGTGTAGCTAAAAGAGCAACAAACTTGTTTCTTATGTGGATTTCATGAGCTAATACCAGACTCCAAAGTCTAAGACAGTTAACTGGCCATACTACCTCACTACTGAGGATGAAGGGAGTTGGAAAAAAAAATTATCCACTCCACTTCTGTATCTTGTTGGTACATTAGAAAACTGTGATACAAAAATTTTGTAACTGCTTCTGGAGTTTCTGAGCATTTTTATGGATTATGCAATAGTTCATAAATTTCAGAACTCTTTTACCACACCTATTTAATTACAACATAAATACAAATCCAAACTCCAGTTATATAAATATTGCCTCACCATTGCGTGTATGCGTATAAATATTATGAGGGTTAGTTAATGAGCTCCTTGTGAAATACATAGGAATTGTTAGGGAAAACCTGTTCCAGCTTCAGAGAGATAATAATTAAAACAGTTTCAGAATCTTTTATTTCTTCAGTAAGGTACAAAAGACCAAGAGCAAAACCTTCAAAATTCATTTTTCCCCCTTTTGTGCATTGAACGAGTCCTTCCCATACATGTATTCAACTTATTTTCTTCATTCTATTTTTATAGTAATTTTATTAAAGATGATAATCACAACAATAAAAACTAATAGAAACTGAAAAATGTAGAAGAATTAAAAGAAAGAGTAGAAGGTGCAGAAAAAGAAAAAAAGAAATAGAAATAGAAAAGAAAGAAAAAATAAGAATATAGTAAAGAAAAAGAAAAGAAATATATGAAGAAGTGACTTCTCACCATCACAACAAGTATAAATAATTTTAGTAACTTATCACCTTCTCTTAAAATATAACAAATGATCTCTTCTTCCCATATTCCATCTCTTTTCTTTAAACAAATCCATAAAGCATCATCATTTCAGTCCTGATATCAGCAAAAGTCCATTAAGGGTTACCAGAGATAACAACATACCTATTTTAAACTTCATCAAATAAATCAACTTTATATTCCTTCCTTTTACTTCTAACGAATTTAATCTTTAGTCCCTTCAAATAATGTTGTAGAACTTGATTTCTTTCATTTTTTTCTGTCCCTTCTCACAAAATTCTTTAAAACTTTAACAAGCCTGTTTTGTAAATCCAATATAGGAAAATTAAGCAGGTAACTGTCTTGGTTTGTTGTTTGTATATCCCTTTTAATTATTAAGACATTCAGGTGTTTTTTTCTTTTTTTGGTATGCCCAGCGTAGCATCTTTTTCCATGTCAATCTTCATCTTATCAGGTAGAACTTGTTCCTCTTCCATAACATCTTTTAAACACAGTTTATCTATAGAGACAGACACTATTAAAACTAACTTCTGGGTCCATTGTTCGAAAATATCCCTCAATATGTCAAGTGTTAAAATATTTTGCTTCATTCTGTAATTGTAAGTCAAGTTTAAGTGTTCTTCTTTAACTGTAATCTTTAGTGTCCTCAAGTTCTCTCTAGTGACCATTTT